GGTCCACACACCCCCTCCATTGGACTCTCGCGCCCTGGGTCCTCGCCACCTGCAGGGCGGGAGCAGAAACAGCCACCTGGCTCTTTGGGTCGCCCATCCAAGGCCACTGAGATCACAGCAGAACGGCCAGGCTGGCTCCCCCGCCTGGACCCGGCCCAGCCCCAGCCCGAGGTGCAGTCCAAGCTCTCTCATGAAGGGCAGGGGTCCCCGGGTGGCCGGGCTCTCCCCAGCTTTTGACTTTCTCTTCCTCCTTCCTGCTTCCATGCCCAGCATGCTCACATCCCAGACACTGGGCACCTCACTGGGCACCTCCGTGTACACACGGACCCCGTCTCCAGGCCCTGCCATCATAATTCTCCGGCTCATGAAACCCCAGGCCCCTTTCACGAAGCCTGTCTCTTAACGCCAGGCATCCCTCTGTCCCAGCACCTCGCTGCGCCATACCGAGGTGGCCTGTCTTCCTCCAGAGACAGGGAGCCCCTGAGGGCTGGGCAGCGCCCAGGGCGCCAGCACCTGGCACATAGCGGGCCTGCAGCAGTGCGTGGGTGCATCCATGCAAGCCCTGCGGCGTCACCCAGGAAGGGGGAGGATGCAGAGGCTCCCTGGGCTGGCCTCGCTGTTTGCAGGGCGACCTGGGCACAGACATGTAGTGACGCCCAAGGCTGGCGGCTCTGCTGGTGATAGCCCAGCCACGGTCCAATGTCGTGTCTGAGAGCCCTGTCCCCAGGTGTGCGTGGACTGCCTGCCTTGTGGGCTCCCCCACTAAGAACAGCGGCCAAAGACACCCGCCCGGGGGCTGCTGGAGGCCCAGGCTGGGCCATCCGAGGCCGCAGCCAAACCCCCACGGCATCCACCCAGCCCAGCCGCAGCCTCACAGCACCCCCTGCCTGTACCCCAGGGGACCGGCTGAACGAACGAGTGGCTTGCCACCGGCTGGCCGCACTGCACCACCGGCTGGGCCACGGCGAGCTGGCCGAGCACTTCTACCTGAAGGCGCTGTCACTGTGCAGCTCGCCGCTGGAGTTCGACGAGGAGACCCTGTACTACGTGAAGGTGTACCTGGTGCTTGGAGACATCATCTTCTACGACCTCAAGGTGGGCGGGCGTCTGGGGCCCTGGAGTGGGGTCCGCACCCGAGACCTCGCTGGCCGGGCCTGGCTGGCGAGAAGGGGTCAGGGCCGAACATCTGTGGGGAGGAATCGCTGTTTCTCCCACGTGGGAGCCGCGTGGCAAGATCCAGCCCTAGTCCTGGCGCTTCCTCCAGGAAGCCAGCCCTGGTGCCTCCCCAGAATCCTGAGTCACTTTGGGGTCTTCACATCACCCAGGCAGGATGGATAGGGCGGGGGGTCATCACATCCCACCACAGCCAGGTCTGTCTCCAAGGGTGCCAACGGGGCCTCTCCCACCCGCCTCCAGCCCCACGGGTTGGCGAGCTGGGCACCTGCAGTCAGTGACTCGGAGGTGTCTACTGCCCGGGGCCCCCTTCAGGCGGGTGTCCACCCGTCCCACCGTCCCCGGCCCAGCATGTCAGGGGCTGAGCTCTCGGGGGTCTCTGACTGGCGTGAAGGAGCCGGGGTGGCCCTGAAGACCTCTCCCCCCCCCCGGCGTCCCCCCCCCTGGCTGGGTCAGCCGAGGCAGGAGGGCGCTGGTGACATCTGGTGGTCAGAGGTGGTCCCTGCGGCCTTCCGCTAAGCTGGAGCCCAGGACCCAGGTGCCCGTACTTACCTGGGGACTGGCTTCCCAGGAGGGGCTTTCATCTCTCCATGGTCTCACCTGCAGCCCGCCCTGCCCACCTGGGAGGAAGGAAAGGGCCGCAACGCCACGGAGAGGCCAAGGTCCGTGGGCTGGGTGGGGCTGGGGTCACGTCCGGAAATGGTGGCTTCAGCATGGACACAGACCAGGGAGGCCTGGGTCACTCACAGAGTCACCCAGTAGCGCGCGCCCCTGCCGTGGCTGGGAGCCACCAGAACCAGAGGGGCCCCGCATGGAGCTGCCAGAGCCCGCGAGGTCAATCCTGACCTTGGCCCTTGATGGGGCAGAAGGCTGGGGCAAGTGGGCTGGAGGGATGGTCAGGAAGGCTTCCTGGAGGAGCCAGCAGGAGCCAGCGGGGTCCTGTCCTCAAACACCAGCCAGTGCCAGAAAGCCCCGGGGGCTGAAGTGAGAAATTCAGGACTTCCCCACCAGCCCTCCTGCTCTGGGTTGGCCCCAGGGCTTGCGTGGCTCTTCCTAGGAAAGCTTTCAGGAGTGGCAGCTGTGGCCTAGTTGGGGACACGTCTCACCAGCCAGGGTCGCGTGGCAGAGCCCGTGGCAGTGTCGGCGTCTCGGGCAGCGACGGGCTGGGGGCCCATGGGTGGCTCGGCGGGGATGGCAGGACCCGGGACGGGGCGGCCCCCGGGG